TGGAAAGTTAAGAGAAAAAAATTAGGAAAACAAATTCTAGACTTACTAAGTATCTTATCGTTGCGGTAATGTTTACATATTAATAAATTCAGATACTTTGTATGGCAAACTCACTTTTACAAACCATCCAATTTCTTATGTAGATTTTCCTGTAGTGTTGTATATAATCAAAAAAAGTTATTAGGAGCCATATAATAAGGAAGTTAAATCACATATAAATGCACAAAAATTTCTTTTTAAATGCTACTTTCTAAAATGCTTCTGCTTATAAATGCTATGCATAGAAGGAAACATCCATCACAAGGCAAAGTACTTGTAATTACACGCCTGATTCTTACCACAGACAGAAATCCTATGGTGGAAAAGGACTGCCAACTTATTAATATCGTTGCATTATAATTTTCAAGATAAATGAAAATAAACTCTCAAAGTGTCAATGAATCCCTCATGATCAATGATGGCTCATTTAAAGCCCAATCCAATCCAAAGGAGACTTGTAAAGAACGTAAACTCCTATGAACGGAAACAGCACAAATAAAATCTAACTGTTTTAGCCGGGGTAGTGGTGGACTCCTTTAATCCTAGCACTGGGGAGCAGGGGCAGGCAGATCTCTTGAGTTCCAAGACAACTAGGACTACACAGAGAAGTCTTGTCTTGAAAAAAACAACAAAAGTAAACAAAAAACAAAACAAAAAAACAACCCCCACAAACACAAACTATTTTAATAAACTAAATTGTTTGACATTTTTAATAGTCTAAATAACAGTAAGTGAAAAATTAATACTACATTTATTCAGTATTTTCTGCTTTCGTAATTTCTTAGAGAAACTACCTCCACATTTCCACAGTCCTGCATATTCAGTTTAGAAGATAAAGTATCACCTTAATCTCGCTGTCATATAGTGCCTTTTGAAAAGTGCTAGTTTTGATGATACAGTGAAATGACTGCATATTACTATGAAAAAAGTTAAAACAGTATTTTAACAATGCCAGAGTAAAATTTTCTATTGCTACTCTCACAATTTCCACTTAAGATTAAGTCTCACAATGAACAGTATATACATCCGTTTGATTAGACTGCTAAATTAGCATTACAATCAGTACAAAGGCACATGATCACACTGTGAGGACAGCACTGGTGCGCATAGCAATGCAGAGACCACATTCCTGGTGAGGCAGCTCACTCTTCATAGAAAAAGAAAAAGACCATACACAGTTTTTACCTTTTCTTATGTTCAATTTCGATGCAAATCTTTGCTTAAAGGCAGATGCCTCTTTGAGTAAACCATGATAAAGTACAAATTTAGTAAACATGATGAACAAGCAGGCTCACATGAAAAATTTTTAAGAGTAGCAAAAATCTTTCATTTTTTTACTACCTAGAATGCAGTATGTCTAACAAATTTCAAATATAGTTATGAATGAGTAAATATACTGAAACATTCATGTTCTAACTTTCAAGAAAAAAAAAATCTCAGACAAGAATGTTTTCCAAATAATTCAGGAGAATGGAAATTTTATCTCAACTAAAGCCACCAGAACACAAGTAGTAAAAATGGGATTCCTCCTTGAGAACATTAAAAATTCCTGTGACCTGAATTATGATAAGAAACATTAAAAGGTTTCGTCAAAATATGTTTCTCTCCATCTCAACCAGAGGCCTCCCTTTAGACAAAGCTGAGGCAGATGATTAAGTACAGCATTATAGAATCCAAAGGAAACAACCTAGATTTTAAGAAACTATAATCTTCCATCGTAATAAACAGTTCAATGGCAAAATCTGAGATATTTAAAAAGCCTCTGAACTATAAAGTGCTCTACATTATAAAGTCTGTTAAATTAGAAGACAAAAATAACCTTTTTAATGCATTGTTGACTGGATAAGAAAATGGATTTTCTTTTTCTACCCCTAGGACAAGGACACATATAGTCTAGGCTGGCTTCAAGCTCACTATGTAGCTGAGGACAACCTGGAACTTTCTCTGGTTCCCTACTGCTAGGATTACAGGGATGTACAGTGTGCCTGGCTTTTCTTGTGGTTTGGTAAGAAATAGTATTTGGACAAACCTGAGAGAGAAGAAACTCTCTGAAACAGCTAGGTGCTTATTATATAAATCTGTATTACACCAATATCCCATGTGCAATTTCTAACTTTAAGTAGTTACACTTATGGGAAACTAAACATTTACATCTTCTTTGCTATTCATTATCACTGAAATAATGAAAATCATTATTAAATGCAAGAAATGTTTTGATTCTAAATACTATTTTAGCCTTGACATTAATCCTCAGGTGATAAATATTAGTCCTTAATTTATTACAAGATAAGGAATAAGTCAAGGAAGCTATCTCTACCGTGAAGTTCATACATTGTATTATTATGACAAGCCTTCCTGCAATGGCCCTCACTGTAAGCCCAATTCTAGTAAGTATGGTTACCTGCTTTTTTAATTCACAGTATTCAACTAGGGCAAATACATGAACACAATAAGGGGTAATAACTGACAGATAACCTGGCAATGAAAAAGAAAAAAAAGACCAGAAGCAAACATATCAAAATAATCCTTCAAAATACATGGATGAATCTTTAATAAGAACAAGTGATAGCAACAGATTTGTACAATAATAAGACAATTGATATTCACAACAGTGACCCTGGAGTCGATTGCAAAGGCTTAAAGTGTGCTCAGATAGCAGGAGGCATGGAAAGTTCTTCATTAAATGATTAAAATACGGATTTTTGATATTATTTATATTTACTAATGTTTAAGTTTTAGTTTATGTAAAAATTTTGTTAAGGAGAGCATATTACTCTTAAATGATACCAAACAAATACAAGCGCCGGAATTAAATAGTAACAAATACTCAATAAGGTTAATTTCTGCAATTTATACAGATCACATTCACCATCAGATTTTGTAAAGAAAAAAGATGTGTTGGGAGGAGAGAGAATTCTAAAATGAAAACTTTCCTATTTCATGCTCTGTGGCCATTTTCGCTGGCTGAGACAATTGTCTATGTAATATTCCTTTAGGCAATTTCAGTCAATGGGAAATAGTTTACACCCTATGTTGGTACTTCAGTAAAATTATCCCTGGTAAAGTACAGTTCCAAGAACCCCATCTCTTCAAGAAATAGTAAAAGCAACTTAGAAATACCAAAGGATGCAGTTTGGAGACACAAAAGGGAACTCATCGAGCCCTCTATGATCTGAAACTTGTAATAAACATCTCCAAGACTACACTGTCAAGTACCTTTATTTTGTTTCCTCGGTCTTCTACTTGATCCTACGAAGGAAGGCAACATGCTCACACTGCAGTCCACCTCATTAACAAAGCAAGGAGGACGGCTCTGAGGAAAATCCTGAGTGCTTGCACAAGTTTTCTTCCTGTAATATGTGCTGAGTGCTTAAATCAACTATGCTTCAAACTACGTAGTAGGAACATTTTTTAAAATATATAAACAGAATAAAGTTATGTTTAAGTGAAGTATATAAAGGTTTAGCAATTCACAGAACTCTGCTGTTATGAAATATGAAAACAATAGCTCGGAGGCAATAACTAAATAGCTTTTGCAAAACTCTAAGTTATACCCTGATTTTTTAAAAAAGATTATCCTTTCCTACTAAGGAATCAGCCTTTTATGAACATAAAATATTAAGTAAGATGAAAGAACTTTTGGTTGAAAATATTCTCACGTGAATTTTTTTGTAGAACATACTATTGCAGTAAATTTTAATCAAACAGCCTTCCACATCAAGAGACTTCTCAGATACTAAAGTATATATGAAAATATAAGTGTCACAACTATTTTTAAAAGGAAGTATTTCTGAAATGTTTTTCCCACTCTCCGATGGTATAAGGTTTTTCTTGTTAACTGATGGCTGTTAAGATTGTTTTTGTTTTGTTGTGAGACAAGGTCTCACTAAGTAGTGTTGGCTGGCCTAGAACTCACTATGCAGACCAGACTGGCTTTAAACTCAGAAATCCTTTAGCCACTGCTTCCCCTGAGTGCTAGTATTAAAGGTGTGCGCCACCACATCTGGCTGATGACTATTTGGAATATTATTTCACCTCTTAGATCACAGTGATCTTCTCAGAGGTATCATGTGACAACAGGCTTCTGAAATACTCAAGGTTCTTTCATTCTTGCGTTAAATAACCTAAAGACATTTCAGTCTGTTCCCTTCAAAGTACTTCCAACATATCATTCCTAACAGCATGAAAATGGCTACTGTAAACCTGCTCAATCAGTTATCATAATTATACACATTTATATTAACAGGCTTTAAGTACAAAGCAAGTGGTTTCATGATAAAAGGGTTTTTTATGATTATTTTTCTTAAATATTTGATACTTTCCCCATCTATTGGTATATAATTATGTTTCTACTATGACATAATCCAATTATAAATGCCAGCTAAGTAGGTGTTATCTATTTAATAAAGAACAACATGGAGCACTTTACCAAGTAAGAGCATACATGTAACACTCTCATGCTGTAGTGTCAGGAAATGAGTTGATCAATTACTGTTAGGATATACAGTAAAATTAATTTTAAAAACCTATAGTCTGATAATGGTTCTTTTAGGAGTCACCTTGTTAAGAATAAAAAGAATCTAGGGCTTGGTCTGCTTTATACTACATATAATTTAAAAAGTTTGTTACTATGCAATAGGTGTCCATTAAAGATAAGTAATTAAGAACATGAAGTATCTAAAAAGCTACCAGTTAGAAAACCATCAACATACTGAGTAATAGCTAAGGCTATACTTGTTATAAACCAGGCAAAGAAAATTAATCTTCTTGCCCCGATAACATCTTTTTGTATTAAGAATGAAAATTAGACCACCTGGGAGAAATGAAAGAAACAATGCTTCTACCTTTAATTGTAAATTTTCATGTAATTAGGAGAACAAGATTTTAAAAAACTTTGGAAAAAAGCAGGAATAAATTTTAATGCTGACAATAATAGATAGAACTTTTGGATAAACACCTACCGATTTTTTTCTACTGTTTTCCAGATCTTTGAGTTCATTCTCGATTTTTGTGATTAATTCCCTGAGTTCATCAAGATTAGTGCAAATAAGCTAAAATAAAACACAAAAACACAGCTTGATAACACATAATATAAAACACCAAAAATGTGGTAACAGAAATTGTTTAACACATACTGAAATGAGGAATACTTCTCTGCAATAATAAAAGCAAGGAAAGCTGCACAGTTCCTGAGGTATTTACTTGTTATAATGTATGAACTTCAGGCTTCATATAAAATAAGCTAAAATTACAACATTGGTACTCTTGTCCTACACCTCTAAATTATAATCCCGCTACTTTCTTAGTATTATTAACTTTCAGCCCAGAATGACAAAGATCTGGAAATTCATTAGCTTTTACAGGTTACTGAATCACCTGTAAGAAAGAACTGCACCAGGCAGTCTCTGAGCAGGTCGATGACAGCCCTGTGAGAGTGGCCATGATCCCTCTGCTTTGGTTTGCTAGCTATATAATGTAATACACCAAGTGGCTGCTAGTGGCAGTGCTACTAGAGGACAAAATCATGTGTCATACAGTCAAAGACAGGAAAAAATTAAGTACACATTCTCGCCATGAGTTTAATGGTTTTTACTGCTGCTGTGTTTTGTTGCTGTTGTCTTGTTTTGTTTTTTGAGAAAGGGTCTTACTATGTATCCCTGGCTGGCCTCAAATTTATGATGGTTCTGCTCAGTCACCCAGCCCAACTGAGCTTAACAGATTGTAATAAAACCATCTTTACAAGCAGTATCTATTTCCTTCTGTAATTGTGTGGTTCATTTTATTTTACTTGTTAATTCTGGCAAATGACCACAATGATGAATTCTTAGTTGTTAACTGACCTAGCTCAGCTTACTACAGTTTTATAAACTGAAGCATCAGAAATACTAACAAAAATATTAGTTACTCCCTTTGGTTCCTGTAAAATTATATTGAATTTTTTCAATGAGTTTAATATGTCTAACCCTTTTTCTAAAATAATTTAAGCAATTTAGGAACATCTAAAGTAACAGAAAATTCAGAAAAAAAACTGCATCTACATAGACAAAAAGTTTCAGATCCAAGAAAATCTTGATGGTTACACTGTATAACTTAAAATATGCTATATATTTATAAATTATCACCAACCTTTATCATCGCCATGCTTATTGCACACATTAATGCAAAGTTACTGTTTTCTTACAATGCACACTTTATTTCATTAGAAACTCAGACAAAAGTAACAAGCAAAAGTGGGTCATAACAAGATACGTGCTAGTTGTTATTGAGTAGTTAAGACAGGAGGTAGGAAATGCTTTAAATTTGGTTAAAACTATAAGAAATTCTGAAATACATTTATCTACAAAAATGGCAATATGGTTCAATCTAAGAGATTAAGAAAAAATTATCACAGATACTATACCATAATTAGTATTAATAATTACTTATTATAAATATCTATAAAACTTCAAATGCACTGATAAAGCAGGGTAAGTATATACTTAAGTAATCCAAATTAAACAATTTCAGGACAGGGGATGTGCTCAGTGGTAAGAATACTTGCAAAATACAAAAACAAAAACAATTTCAGAGTAAAAAATATTACATAGTATTGTATTGGGAGAGTGTAAATGATAATTATTAGAAATCACACATTCCAATTTGCTAAATCTGGTTATGAAAAAAACAATGATGGTTAAGCAGTAGACTGGCCAACTAGGTAAGTACTTCCATTACATCTATAAAGCCATAGAGCAACATCAGCTTTCTAGTAGGTTTTAGTGAGTACTCACTGAAGTGTGTTCCTATTACTGCTACATCAGATTTATCCTTTTTCACTGAACTTGGTGTATTGGTTAATATCACAGCATAGATTTTTCACTTACCTATATGGCAAGGCTCAGAGAAATTTTCCTTATATTTTAGGTATTTCACTTAAAATGGCTGAGAGTATGCTTTAATTGCAGCATGTAGAAATTTATAAGAAAACAAAGGCATATACCCAACAAACTAAACACATCCTAAAAACTTTAAAGTTCTTTACTTATCAGTTAGTCATGACATCAACAAATAATTATATTTCATCTCCTGGAACATAGCTGAGGCCCAAGTGTTAAAAGGTAAATGAAGTAACACTTCTAAGTAGCTTACCTAGCTAATAAGCTGTGCTACATCAACTCTTATCAAATTTCAGTGTGCATAAGAATTGCAGGGGAACCTGGATAGTTTTGTTCTAGTACGTCTCCTCTCTGACGAGTTTCTAGATTTAGTCCGTAGATCCCACTTTTGAGTAGTCATGTACTTACTTAATGACTGAATTACAAACCAGCACAGCTACTGAGCCATTAAAACATTCTGGTGCTATGTAGCTAATAAACATGAAAACTCAAAAGTAATTAATTCCTGAATTTAGGGGGTGGGGTATTTTTAGGATAATGTTCTTAAATTGCCTCATCTAAGTTCTAAGCATAATTTTTCTAAATTTGAGGGTCAGAATATTTTAATGACATTTATCTTGAAGGTACATTGAAATAACTTAATGTCTACATAATAATTTAGAGCCTTAGTTATTGTTGACAGGATCTCACTACATAGGGCAAGATGCCCCTCAAACTTAAGTTGCCTAGACTAGTCTCAGCCTTCCAAGTGCTGGGGTCACAGATATGTGCTATCACAACCAGGCCTGGTTTATACTCTTAATATGCAAACATACTCTTTATATTTCTATGTATCTGATGTATACCTAACATAACAATATTTTGAATCATGCTAAGGTATTAGAAAACTCTGGAGTAGAAACATAGTTTGATTGATGCCAACTTTATGTTGCATACAATTCAATTCCTACTTTTTCAAAAATGAAAGTCTTAGATGGGCGGTGGTGGCGCATGCCTTTAATCCCAGCACTGAGGGGATCTCTATGAGTTCAAGGCCAGCCTGGTCTACAGAGTGAGATCCAGGACAGGCACCAAAACTACACAGAGAAACCCTGTCTTGAAAAAAACAACAAAAAAAAAACCCCAAAACAAAACAAAACAAAAATAATGGAAGTCTTCAATTTCAGATGGTGACTCTATGAAAACTAATAACACACAGTAAAAATTCACTTTAGTAACAAGACAGGTGCATTTAGTAAGAACAAAGAAAAGCATCTCATTAAATCCCTTTCTTGTTAGTATTAATTTAGAAAGTGCTTCTGAGACACAGGGCCTCCTGGGAGAAAAGGAAGACAGCTGAGCTGCTGGGATTACCACACACACTCTGAGAGGCTTTCCTGCAGGGAGAACCATAGGAGTGACACACTCATGTTACAGTAAGCTTTTCACTTGACTGAATCAAGGCTGAGCCACAATCAACCAACTTACAGATGAAATGGATTAAATTATGTCACTTGGTTCAAGGCTTACAGTAGGCTAAAAAGGCCTATCTTCAATTGATACCCAAGAATTCAAAGCAACAGATGTAAATGACCTAAGATGATGCGCCGGGACAGGAAACAACAGAACTATAAACTCCATCTATTAATATCACATTCTACAAGCGGGCTTTTTAAATAAAATGAAAAAATTTAAAACTAGCAAAAATTGAAGGTGTAGTTTTAGGATACAATTCATAACTTACTATTTTCATTGACTGACAGTATTAAAAGGCCTTCTATTCAACTAAAAAATTAGGAATGACTGTAGGTATTAGGGTAAGGGAAGTACTATATAGATAAAAGAATTTCATATCTCAGAAAAATTACATGATAAAAATTTCCTTACATAAACTTCAATCACCGAAATCATGCCATTCTGGTAGAGGTATACTAGGTTTGAAAGGCATTTTCAAATAAAGTATCATATAAAATAAAAAAATGTAGGTTATACTAAAAAAGCAAAGGGAAAATCATGTTGAAAAGAAAAAAATAAATATGTTCAAACAAAATGGATTATTTTCACTACCACTCTATTAAAAAGATCCTATGATTTGTTTTAAAATTTATAAGTAAAACACTAAATATATGATACAAATAAAAATCCATATAGTATTTAAACAAAAATTATATTAATAGTTGTTAGAATTATGCTGACAGGAAAATTACTTCTTATGATCACTGTACCACAACAGCAAGGACAATAAATAAATAACAGAAAATATCCACTTAACGTGAAAACAAAATAATTTTGACAAACAAGTTAACAAAATATTTAAAAATACCAAGTAATTAAAAATGTTTTTCCAATGCCTTAAAGAAAATTGAATGGTTTTAAAGAGGTAAAGTTGAAAATATGTATTTTAAAAGGTAGAAATTAAACTATGACTTAATCTATAGGTCCTTATAACATAGGAAAGTTAAAAATTCTAATTTCAATTTTAGTCTCAATTTGTTATATAAAGATAATACTTGACTTCTTATTCCTTAGTTGGGTAGGTGGAAAAATATACTTTTTTTTTTTCAGGGATCTTAGTTAAAAGTTTATGTTTGTAAACAATACTGTGTAAGTCTTAGCATGTGGATTGTGGGTTTACTTTGTAAATTAACCTATAGAATAAATAGCATGTATAGAACAGATGCCAAGTATACACTCATCAAAAAAGTATTTTGTGTGCGTTTGTGTGTGTGGAGATTACCAAGGAAAAGCAGAAACATGGTAACTAAGGCCACTTAATTATTCTTATATTTTTATGTTTATCTGTTTTAGTTTTTGTTTTTTTTTTTTTTTTGGTTTTTCAAGACAGGGTTTCTCTGTGTAGCTTTGCGCCTTTTCCTGGAACTCGCTTTGGAGACCAGGCTGGCCTCGAACTCACAGAGATCCGCCTGGCTCTGCCTCCCGAGTGCTGGGATTAAAGGCGTGCACCACCACCGCCCGGCCTGTTTATCTGTTTTTATTTATGTATGTCTGTGTAAGTGAATACCAAGTGTGTGACTGCCTGTGGAGGCCAGAAGATGGCACTAGACCGCTTGCAGCAGGAGGTACAAGCACTCATGAGCCACATGACATGGGTGCTGGGAACAGAACTTGTGTCCTCCGGAAGAGCAGCAAGTGCTCTTAACTGCTGAGCCATTTCTCCAGCCCCTACTTACTAGAACTTTAAGAAATAATTTTGATTATTTTTAATTGTGTGTGTGTGTGTGTGTATGTTGAGTACAGGTGCCTGTAGAGGCCAGAGGCACTGGATCCTCTGGAGCTAAAGTTACAGGCAGCCAGTTTGTGAATGCCTGATGTGAGTGCTGGGAACCCAACTCCAATCCCTGAAAGAGCACTGAGTACTCTTAACCAGTGAACCACCTTCCCAGCTCCTCCTTTTCACAAATGCGGTTTACTGGGACTAGACACATCATGTTTTAAAAATACTTTCAAACTTATTTTAGCACAAAAAGAGAATTTATATACTATTACAGTTCTCAAATACTGAAAATAAGAAAGGCTCTGGGGGGGGGGTGGTGAAAATCAACTTTAATAGGAAAACTGACATTTACTTTTGAGTCTAAGAATCTTTATGTTACAAAATAAAGAAAAAATTAATTTATAAAATCATAACTGTTAAACTTGATATAAAACTTAAAACCATCACTACTGTAACCATCTGAAATAAAAAAATTCTCTATTTTTCTTGTTTTAGAGTTACTGCTGATAAATTCCACAATTCTGCTGATGTCACTGTATACTAATTAGGATACTAGAGTAAGAAAGTCTTAGTTTTGCTCTGTGGACAGATGTTATTATTTGGTTTTTCACTTTAAAATTCTTACAGTTTCCATCAAGTACTATTTTAATGAGACCAAATTTAAGATTTATTTCAATGTCCCAAATAGCTGGAAAAGTGCTAAAGCCATTAAGCACTTAGCACAATAGATACTCTTAAGTAAGTTCCTAATTAACTGTCCTAATTAAAATGCAGATTTTCCAACCTAAGTCTATGCCTATTTGGAAAAGAAAAAGTAAGAACAGCTACAACAGTAAACTATGGAATTAATCCTCACAACAACTCTAAGAATGTACTGGCTATTATCACTCCTCTGTGCAGATGAAAAACTGGACTCACAGAGGTTGACTAACTTATGTAAGGTGATAGAATAGTCAGGTGGCAGGTTTGGCATTCCAACTCAAGTTGCCGAGATCCAGAATCCACATGTTTTAACTACTATGTATTTCACTGATACCCACTACTCTAAGGTCTTTGAAGAGGATGAGACCTAGGAATCTTCACTTTTAATAAAGGTATCAGATTCTTTTAATACTTTATAAACTTTAAGAAACTAGGGCATACTAACACAGATACCCTTAGTTTCTTTGCAATATATACACAAAATGAAACCGAAGCCATCACTTGAACGTCCCTACTGCATACTCTAAATACAAATGGGAAGATATTTCCTGACATGGAGTTTTATAGTGTACATACATATAAACATGAATTTTCAAGAAGCAACTAAAAGAAGCAAATTTAACTTTTAGTGTTTAAAAAGTCAACAAAAACACTGTCAAAGAAATAGAAGTCAAAACAGGTTTCACCTTTTTAGCACATTAACACTTAAAAAATGTTGGTAAATAGGTCAGGTTTTATAAGAGCGATTTAATATTTATGCATCAAAGTTTTATTTTCAGTAATACAAATGGACATTTTAGTTTAGAATGGCTACTACTAAAATCTTATTTAACTATTTCTACAAGGTATTTTTATGTTCAATACTAATAAACAAGGTGCTAAATATACTGCCAGTACTTCAGGGAAGAAAAAAATTCACTTATTAGATAATAATTGGTATTTTAAGATTCACCTATTTTTATTTTATGTGTATGAGTGTCTGCCTGTATGTATGTACGTATGTATATATGTATATGACACATATGCCTACTGCCCTTGGAGGCTAGAAAAGGGTGTTGGCTTCCCAGGAACTGGAGGTACAGATGGTTGTAAGCTATCGTGTAGAGGCTAGGAACCAAAGTTGGTTCCTCTGCAAGTACAGCAGAAGTCCTCATAGCTGAGCTACCTCTCGGGGTCCTTCAATCTCTATTTCAGAAGACAGTTGCAAGTTCTCTTCACGAATCACAACATAGAATTCATACTGCAAACTAGAAATAAGAGCTACCTTAGTCCAATACAGACTCACAAACAAGACAGCTAGAGAGAGAGAGAGAGAGAGAGAGAGAGAGAGAGAGAGAGAGAGAGAGAGAGAGAGAGAGAGCGCTAGCTCCCCTACCCCCATGCCTTAAGAACCAGGAAAGGGACTTTATTTATTTTGAACAGTTCAATCTAACAAAACATGTACTTTTGACCTTAAATTTCTGAGTGATAAGCAAATGGTCAATAACTGACTGGAAGTATCACTTATAACAGTGTTTTCCAACTTTTTCCATGAGTCAGAGTCAAAAATACATTTTATCATGCATGTCAACACACATATACACAGAGGCAAGTAAAACCCAAGTTTCAAAAAACAATGTATTCAACTATACATATTCATGGTACTGTATGTGACACACTGAATATACACGATGTACTTATAAATTCTTTTTAATATTGATAACTTAAAAAAGAAACACTGGCCATGCAATCCACTAAAGTTGATTTCATACATCATTAATACCACCCACCACTGTACAAAACACTACTTATGCAGTCTGTGTTACTATTATATACAAACGTCTACTCATTAATACAGAAACAAGAAAAATACTAAAAACGGTCACTCTGTCCTAAGAGCTATAGAATTATATATAAAGAAATTGAGGAAAAAAATAAATGGGGGAAATAACAAAAAGCTAGCATGATTACCAGTGGAAGCATAAAAATATAATATTGTATCATTATAAGCAATGAATTGGGCAGGATGGCCTCCAACCAAACAGTAAATTGTATTTTACTAGATATTCTGTATAAAGGTTATGTGAAAAAATTCTAAAGAATATAATTTATCATAATAATGTCATTAAAGTAGTCTACTATTTTATATATATCTCTATATAATTTTTTTTCTTTTACTATTTAAAGATACCTGATTTTTATCCATTTTCCATTTCCCTCAAAGAGGATTTTACTGAAAATAGATGTAGGATACTGTTACACAGTATTTTTCTTGCCTCTTTATTTTCATAACTACTTGAAACCTACAAATTCAAATATATCACTTTTATTTTATGAGCTTATAAAACTTTTGGAAATGGACTGTTCACAATACTACAAAGAAAAATTTTTAAAGAAAGTGTCATTTGTTGAAGAAAACACTTATTGGATAAGTAGAAAATAAACCTTATGATGAGGTTGCCTAATTTCAATATTAGCAACTTCACATATGGCAGCAATGTTTTTTTTTTCAAAAATGTTTGAAGACTTATATTTAGCCTTTACTAAATATTCTCTCTGAAGTTTATTTATAGCTAAGAGTTAAAATACCTGTTTTTCAAGTTAATCAGTCCACCATTTCTATATTGGTTAAATATGTACAAATGGCTTACCAGAGTAATATTACTATGTACAAACCATGACTTTTTTCTTAGAAGAATTTCATTTACATATACTGAGGGATATATGCACACAGACATAAAGAAGAGAGATATGTATATATACATTTCTATTAAACTACATCTACAAAAGTTAGTATAGGTTGGAAACTAAAAACACCAGGTTTTTCAGAGAGAGAGGTAAAGTTACGATTTGCCTACATCCGTACTTTAAAGGGAAGCACACTGTGAAACCAGTCATTAAAAGTATACACCCTGTAGTTTCTGGAAATTTGGCCGTTCTCTCAAGGAATGACACCAAAGCAAAAAATTAAACGCAAGAACTTGGTGACAATGTTGGAACATTTACCTGAAACTCCGGCAGAGCAGGTGACTTGGTGACAGTTTTCCTCTTCTTGGTGATTGCTTTTTTAGATATGGATTTTTTTCCTTTCAAGATTAAAAGAGAAAAACTTCATAATGCTGTTTACAGCACCTCATTAACAGAAACCAATTTACACAGAGCCTTGAAAGTTAAACTGTAACTAACAGATGGTTGCTAGTAAGTCAAATGAAAATAATGAATCAAACAAGCCTCAGTGAAAGCAAATATTAAACTGCAGCTACCCGTAACAGACACACCAACAACTCTGCTTCTTTATGTAAGAAGCAACACTATTACACTGTTCAAGGTGATACAAAAACATTAGAATTTGTTCAAAGGAGTAGACAAAAAAGCCACAAACAAAACTGCTGCTCAGTTAAAATCTACATTCACAACTTACATGAGCCTGAAAAAAGCCTTTCCTTAAAATGACTTCTGCAGTCAGGAACCTGGGTAAGCATTTTATCTAAAGATTATGGTCTCCTCAACCAAAAGTGGAAGGATGCCTTCCTTTAGCTCTGCATTTATTTAATAGGCTGTTTTGGGCATTATTTGAGATCCAAAGTTTTAAAAAGTGTAATTAACATATCCCTTTAATGTGCAATTAGTACTTTATGCACTCAGAAATCATGAGGAAAAATAAATCTCATCCTTAAAGAATCCAATTTCCAGAATACATCTGAAGTATATAGCTACTTCTTTGCATTAATGTTGCAAAATAAAACATACATAAATGCATTTTTGGCAAGGAACATGCTAAAATTTTTCCTTACTTTATTTTAATGTTGAAGATCTCACACTGTAACCAGAGCTGGCTGCTCACAAAAATTCTCTTGCTTCAGGCTCCCAAGAGCTGGTATTACATGTGTGAACTATCACATCTTCCCCTTATGTGTAACTATCAAATAATAAATTTACTTAATTGTGGGCTGGAGAAATGGTTCAGGGGTTTTAAAAGCACTGGCTGAGCCGGGCGGTGGTGGTGCACGCGTTTAATCCCAGCACTCAGGAGGCAGAGGCAGGCGGATCTCTGTGAGTTCGATGCCAGCCTGGTCTCCAAAGTGAGTTCCAGCAAAGGCGCAAAGCTACACAGAGAAACCCTGTCTCCTGGGTTCCATTTTCAGCAACCAGATGGTGGCTTACAACTAATTCCATGAGATCATTTTCTTCTGGCCTTCACAGGCTCTGCATGCACATGGTGTACAGATATACATGCAAGCAAAGCATACATACACAAAATAAATAAACTTAATTGTTCAACAAATGCTATATATAGGACACTAGTTTATGAGAATAAGGAATTATTAAATGGAGACCTTGTCTTCTAGGAGTTCATGATTTTTAAGAGCATAAAAATGTTTCTATTAAATTTTTTGGTGTGTGCTGGAGATTAGTTCTAAAGCCTTGTGCATGTTAGGCAAGTGCTCTACTTCAGAGCTACATTTGCAGTCCTTCTCTGTTAATTTTGATACACAATTATTTCTAGGCTAAAATCAACTTAATATTTACCTTTTCAAAAGAGAAAATAAAATTACATAATTCTAATATCCCTCTCTAAACATTTTTCTAAATTGAAAAGATCTTATATAACAGATGTTAATTTTGTTGCAACATTTTACTAAGCCCAACTAAAATAATTTCCAATTACAATAAAATTGTTATTTTCTCTATTCCCTTTCAATGAAATCACAAAATTATAACTTGGATAATTCTAACATTTGACTCAAAATATGTGTATACTATGAATGAACTATGTGAATTTTGAGGTGCTTAAGTTCATATAGATTTCATTGTTTGGTTTAAATAAGTATCAATTTGCTGTAATTTGACTCTTGCTTTAATTAAATGAGTATATAATCACCCAACAAACATTTCCTTTCTCATCACCATTATTTGCTTCTATGTTCACACTGTTAGTAAGACAGTACTAAATCTAGGAAACTAGAGGAATGAGTGAGCTGTTAAACAATACTCAAGCAGAAATGACTAAGTTCTTAGTGTCTGTAAAATATAGCTAGCTCAAGGAGTCTTCAAAATCTGAATGCCAAGCTGGGCGGTGGTGGCGCACGCCTTTAATCCCAGCACTTGGGAGGCAGAGGCAGGTGGATCTCTGTGAGTGCGAGGCCTGCCTGGTCTACCGAGTGAGTTCCAGGAAAGGCGCAAAGCTACACAGAGAAACCCTGTCTGGAAAAACCAAAACCAAAACAAACAAATAAAACCCCAAAAATCTGAATGCCAGGATGCATTTTCTATTTATCGTTTTTTAGATATATTTATGTGTATGAGCGGTTTGCCTGCATGTATGTTTGTGTATTGTATGTGTGTCTGGTACCCAAAAAGGTCAAAAGAGGCTATTAAGTCCCCTAGAAATGGAGTTCCAGAACACTGTGAGTCACCACGTGGGTCTCAGAACAAGTGTTTAACTGCTGAGCCATCTCACCATTATCTTCTTTTTAGGAAGTTCATAGAAAAAGATTTGCTAAGTAAATTTGCCTTACATTAGGTGGGGAAGCTTTTAAAACACAATTTGAACAAGAGGAAACTCCCCCTCAATCCTTTCTCTTTTACTGCTCTAATAGGCTTGCTTTATTTATTTAGACACTGCTTCTTGTATCCCAGGCTAGCCTAGATCTTAGTGTCAAAGACGACCTTGAATTTCTGAACCTGCCTCCAACTGCCGAGTAATAAGCATGTTACACTACTTTAAAAATAATTATTTAGGAGGAGGAAGGCTAGGAGGGAGTGCGAGAGGGGATGAGAGGGAGATCTGTGGTTGATATGTAAAATGAATAACACAAATTTTTAATAAAAAATAATTATTTATTTAGTGTGCATGTATGTGGGTAGTCATTCATCACAGCACACTCGTGGAGGTCAGAGGGCAACTAGTGAGAGTATGTTCTCTCCTTCTACTATGTGGGTTTAGGGGATTAAACTCGGGTTGTCTGGCTTGGCAGCAGGTTACCTGTTAAGACATTTTACAAGTCCCACCACCACTTTTTTTTGCGGGGGGAGTTTTTTGCCATGTAGTCCCAACTGTCCTCAAACTCATGGCAATTCTACTACCTCAGTTTACCTGTTGGGATTATGCATGTGCATTACAGTGCCATTTGTACCATGCTGGGGATCAGGCATGTGCTACATGCATGTTGGGCAAGAACTTTACCAACTGAGCCCCATCCCCAGTTTCTCCAATTAGCTTACAATCATTCATTCATTCACAGACACCTTTAATAGTCAAATGCACTTCATATTGTTATTTCATAGACTTTTCAAATCATATAGTAAATTCTTAATAAATTTTAGCAGCCACTCTGTGTGGGTGGATTTAGGAAATTTATGTGGTTATGTCCTTCAGTCACTAGGCTGATTAAATGCTATTAAGTTCCTGGACTTGCATCAGTAGTCATGTAGGGGCTTTAAGATTGAGTTCTGAAACCAAGCTATGTGGACTTGGACATCTGCTATAGTCACCTACTAGCAACATGCAGGTCAGTAAACAGCTTGTGGAAATTGCCTCTCTCCATCCACAGCGTGGGTTCTGAGGAATGAACTCAGGTTACAGGCTTGGTACCAAGTATCTTTAACTAATGTGATGAGCCATCTCACTAGGCCTTGCAAATCTTACTTTTTAATCCCCCCCCCCCCCCCCCCCCCCCCCCCCCCGTCCCTGATTCTCCTCCATAGCTTTTGTTCTTATGTCCATGTTCCCTGCTTTTTTTTTTTTTTTTTTTTTAACAGTAAGTCCACTGATGCCACCCATCAGGGCATTATAACTAAATGCTTTCCCCCCCAACTATGCTGTGAGTTACTAATGACAGAAATTATATTACTCTCAACACACAATGCATAGCTTCCAAGAAGTGATCCTTAAATACCAGAATCCCACTTTTCGTCAGAAATTTTGACATTGTAGTAGTAGGGAAAAAGAGAGGCAAGTTATATCTTAACTATTCTGTGCATCCATTTGAGTCCATTTTGTATTGAAGATCACACTGAAATTACTTTAAGTAATTAATACTTTTTTCAGTACTGGGAATTGAAGCCAAGAGCACCATGCTTCCTTGGACAATACTCTGCCACTGAATTATAGCCCCAATTCTTTTTTATACGAGATAGGCTCTTGGTAAGTTGCATAAGTTGTCCTTGAACTTGAGATCCTCTGGCCTCAGCCTCTGTAGCACCTGGGATTCTAAGTGGGCCTGATCATTCCTGGTTTAATTTATACTATTTACCATAGACGTAGGAGGACTAATGTTTATAGTGGTAATAAGAGGATTATAACACTTATTGGGGTATTGTCATATACTATATGACGTAAACTTACTAAAAATGATTTTATATAAATTTTATTTAATTCTCAAAGCAACTATTGAAACCAATATTTTACTAGAGATAACTAAAGATCAAAAGGATTAGTTAACTTACTCAAGTGCCAGTAAGTAAGCACCACACCCAGGGATTCTAACTCCAAAGTCCAAGTTCCTTCCACTATGTAATTCTAGTTCACAAAAATCAGCTACCATCTGTTGATTCTTACTACAAACCAACTGACAAGCATGATGGGTTTTATGAATTTCTACTCTAATTTATCTTGTAGAAAATTAGCAAGCTAGAGACTATATTAGCTCATTTATACTAATGTACAGACTATAAACAGAAATCATTGGAGGCTTTATAGCTGCTATGTACTGGAGCAGATATTATCAGCTACATTTTCCTCATGTCAAAACTGTGCTGTTTGATGACATAATATAGCTTCCTTTCAGACTTATGCAGGGATGAAATGTGCTTATGACTGACTTCAGAGTAATCTTTTTTGATCAGGATTCAAAGATTTGTACATTCACCGTTACTTAACATCTTGTGCAACCTCAAAAGATAGCCTGGATATTTATTTACCCCTTCTTTGCTAAAATTCAGGCCTTTAAATAAAATTAAACATTTTTTATATGAAGCATAGACTAGAACAAAACCACAGGCTAATATATGGGTTTATTTGGAGAAGCTAGCAGTGAAGTACAGACACCTACAGCTACAACTGAAGAATGGTCCTTTTCTTTCA